TCCTAAGGTCCTTAATTTTCAAAACAAAACTCTACCTGACCCGCAATTACTCAGACTTAAAGATTGGTTTGCCATATACGACTTTTATGTCAAACATATAAAAGGCCACCACAACCTCATCCCTGACTTCTTAACTCGTCCAAAGTCAGTTCAAGTCATCACACCCTGTAAAACCTTCCCTCTGATCTTCATGTATACCAATATCCACACACCTCTGTGCTTTCCTGTAAAATTAGATCGTAGTTTCCCACCAGGACTAGATAGTACAGCTCAACCTCACCAGATTAAGTCTTATGCTAGATCTAATATGTTTTACTATCTAACCAAGGTTTGTATTAGAACTATGAACCTTATATCACATGATTTATATAATATGGACCCACCATATCTTGCCACCTACCATCGTCGACCTTTCGGCGAAACTACCCAAGATGACATTTGGTACCTCTGGTGCCAAACAACTTTCTACAAAATCGCCCTCGACTGTCCACTCATGCAACTCTATGAACATCTCAATGAATCCAGAAACGAAGGTTCAGCCCTATGGTAACTCCTGGAGATGTTTAACCCTCTCTCATGGTAGAGAAAAGAAGTCTCAAGACTTCTTCAGAAATACAGTATCTAGACTTTCTCTCCAGCAGACATTCCTTGGGTGCACACTGTATTCCTCTTGCATCGTCCATATCTCCTCAACTCACAAGCACAAGAGCTATACATACAGCATGAAGTATACGCCTGGCATACCGGCTTTAATTACCCACAGTCACTAAAAAAAATCACAGACCATCTCATTAAAGTACTATGCAAAGAAAATGGTCACCAGCCAAAGCCTCCTCTACAACCATCTGCCAGCTCAGCAATAGCTCAACCCACTCAGATCTATGGATCATACAACATTTTCACTGTCAGCAACAGTCGATATTATGAAGACATCTCCATGACTTCCAACACAGCCCCATCATCATCAACTGTTCCCCCCAAGACTCACAGGGTCATCCTGATTATGACCTAACACTATTTTAATACTCACAAGATCCAGAAGACGACTACTCAGAGTAAATACCACATTCTACTAAAAGACACAAACAATGGTACCCACATGACCATCCATATGAAAATGGTTCCACAAATTCTGAATCATCATCATCAGACTTCAGCTCTCTTGGGTCCCCCTGAAAAATTGCCCACAGCTGTCCACTTTGTACAAAGATTTTGTTTTCTTGTGTCTTAGTCAAAAAGTAGAATAGTAGATTGTCTGCCACTTCACTAAAAGTGGTTTTGTCTTTTGTATAATTAGTCGCAGGCGGAATAGTAAGGGATCTGCTTTGTCAAAAGTTTTTTGTTCTTTGTAAAATAAGTCTAAAGGTTAATAGTGTGAATCTTATCCTGTCAGATAATAGAGTCTTTTTTAAGCTTCCATCCTCATCTATATAAGGCGAGGAAAAATCTCTTGCAGAGGCAGAAGTCCTCTAACCAAGAGAACTTTATAAAGAGTTTGCTAAGTAATAAAAATATGAGTTTCTAAACACCTTTGCTTCCTCTCAGAAATTCTAAGTTCTCTCTCTTATATCATAATCGTTTCTACTCCTGACTAGTATGCTCTGTGCTTGCCTCTGGTAGAGGATCCTGCACACTAGAAAAGTTTAAGCCTATGATCTTTACTATGATCTCCATGACCATGAGTGATGAGCACCTGTAGCACTGAAAGCCAAAAGTCAAGGGTGACGCAGTGGCGATATAGTGCTAGAGTTTCTCGTTGTTAATGGTCTGTGGAGCTCTCGACCAGTGATAAAAATGTAGAGAATTAAACAACATATATAATTAAACTTGTGTGTGGAGCTATCCGGAGCTATTTTTTTCCCGATTAAAGCAATTTTGATTAAAAATCATATAATTGAACAACATATATAATGCAACATACATACCATTACATTTCAAAAAAAAAAAAAAAAACACACCACTATCATTTGAAAATAGAGGTGTAAGTTTGGACTATCCGGCCCGACCCAGTTGCCTGAAGTGAAATTTTGAGCCTATTTAGCCTAGCCCTAAAAAAGAGAGGGTCAATCTAGCCCAGCCTTAAGCTCAAAAAATTTAGGGCTCGCGTAGTTCGGTCCACAATTTTATAAGGTATTTTCAAAAAAATATGTAAAAAAACTAATGTATGGAGAGAAGAGTGACCCAACCCGGCCCTAAACCTAAAAAATTTAGGGCCGA